TTTTTTTTCTATTATCTCATAGTCCATGTACTTACTAGCGGGAAGTAAGAAAAGTACAGAAATTGAGTGTTTAAATACATTTATAGCACTTTGAGAGAATAATTATGTGCCTATTGACTATAATAATGATCTATTTAGGATTGTATTTTGTAAGTCTGGTTTTTATTTCATTTTTCTAATAATTCATTTTTATGATTTTTACAAACATCCTAGTCTGCAACAGATTGCAATTTTTTTCTTTTTATTTAAATTTTAGGTAGTTAACATACAGTGTAATATTGGTTTCTGGAGTAGAATTCAGTGATTCATCACTTATATACAACACCCAGTGCTCATCATGGTAAGTGCCCTCCTTAATACCCATCACTGATCTAGCCCATCTTCCATCCACCTCTCTCCATCAACCCTCAGTTTGTTCTCTATTGTTAGAGAACACTTAAAACTATAGCAGTTAATTAACTAGTTAACAACTTAATGTTTCCCTCTCTCCTTTCTTTCTTTTACCCCTTCCCATATGTTCATCTGTTTTCGTTTTTAAATTCCCCATATGAGTGAGATCATATGGTATTTGTCTTTCTCTGACTGACTTATTTCACTTAGCATAATACACTCTAGCTTCATCCATGTGTTGTAAATGGCAAGATTTCATTCTTTTTGATGACTAAGTAATACTCCTTGGATATATATACCACATCTTCCTTATCCATTCATCAGTCGATGGATATTTGGGCTCTCTCCATAGTTTGGCTGTTGTTTATAACGCTGCTATAAACATCAGGACGCATGTACCCGTTTGAATCTGTATTTTTGTGTCCTTTGGGTAAAGACCTAGTAGCAGATTGCAATTTTTTTTAAGGGTGGTTTTTCTTCACAGAGTTTGGGAAGCATTGATTTGACTGAGCTAAGTACTGTGACAAATAAAAATATGAGTAAGAAATGGTCCCTGCTTTCATAAAGTTTACATATGAATAAGAAAAGTCGGGTGTGATGGTTGCACAATGAAGCATAAACAGCATGTTCTAGATGTTTCGAGGAGGGAGGTGATTCCAAGCAGAAGAGATAAGACAAGGTTTTGCAGAGGGAACTGTTAAGCCAGACCTCCCCTGAAGGTTGGGTAGGTTTGTTAGAAGTAAAGGGCTCTGTCCACTTCAGACGGAGTAAACCATATGAGTAAAGACGCGGGTGGGGTGGGGGGGAAACACAGTTATGTATTAGGAAAAGCATGCAACTGACCTCATTTGGTGACAGCAAAGGGAACATGATAGATCTAGAAGGGTAGACCAGGGACCCAATTGGGGAAGGTCTTTTGAATGCCAAGCAGTTTGTGCTTGAAGGGGGTCAGTTCCAAGCTGCCATGGGAATTTTTTGAGCAGAGAAGTGGTGTTCTCAAAGCTCTGCTCCTAGTTGATGAATTCAATGAGAGAAAGACTGGGGATTCAATGAGGAAGAACACCCCAGACTCTTCAGATGACATGACAGACCCAAGTCATCTCAAGAGCATGTAGATCAATATTTGAAAAGGCACACTTTCACCTTTCCAAATACAAAGTAGTGATCAGTAAGTCCAAATACAACAGCAACCCATCCCGTAAAACATCTGAGTAAGCAACGGTTGACTAACATTTGTTAAGCATTCACTGTGTGCATTTTAGGACCAGTATCTTTTTTTTTAAATTTTTTATTGTTATGTTAATCACCATACATAACATCATTAATTTTTGATGTAGTGTTCCATGATTCATTGTTTGTGCATAACACCCAGTGCTCCATGCAGAACATGCCCTCTTAGGACCAGTATCTTATGTAATCCTCAAAACAACTCTAAATGTGAGGTTCTGTTATTATCCTCAATTTTTTCTCATATGAGGTAAGCAAGTAAGCAATAAGAGCTTGAAATTAAACTACATCAGTCTGATGCCAAAGTCCCTTTCAGCAGTATTGGATGAACCCAAAAAGTAAACACTCAGACATAATTAGATCTTTAGTTCTTAGATGAAAGAACTAAAATCTATACCAGCTATCCACCTGAACATTCAGAAGCCCATTCTTTGCGAAGGTCTGGGATTTTGTTGCTGTTGTTGTTGTTTTAATCAAAAAGATAAGGTGTATGGGAGGTGTATGGGGCGCCTGCGTGGCTCAGTCGTTAAGCGTCTGCCTTCGGCTCAGGTCATGATCCCAGCATCCTGGGATCGAGCCCCGCATCGGGCTCCCTGCTCCGCAGAGAGCCTGCTTCTCCCTCTCTCACTCCCCCTGCTTGTGTTTCTGCTCTCGCTGTCTCTGTCTCTGTCAAATAAATAAATAAAAATCTTAAAAAAAAAAAAAAAAACGAAGGGGGAAAAAGCTTTCATTGAAATAGTTCATATGATTGAGGTAGAAATTCTAACAGAGGCCCTCCTCCTCTTTGAACATCCAATTTAACAACTTCTTGACATGCTGCTGTCCCTCAGTACCAGTGCCCAGAAGCTAAAGGGAGAACAGTATCCATTTCCCTCATCTGTTTCCCAGGCAGGCCTAAATAAAAATGTCTAATTATACTGGAGTGCCGTTCACGTTTCCTTGCCAATCACTGAGGAACATCATCCTCACATCAATGTCCTGACTCATGTTAAGGTTCCCAGGCTAGGTCACAACAACAGCCTGATCCACTCAAAATGGAGCAGAAACAATACAGAAGGAAAAATAACATAGGAAAAATATTGGAGGCTGGACAGTGTACATTCTGGTTATTTATTTCTGTGTAACGAAACATCCCGAAAATGTAATGCCTTAAAAACACTGGATTATCACTCATATTTCTGTGGGTTGACTGAGCTCAGCTGGGAGGTTCTTGATTAGGGTCTCCCGTACAGTTGCAGTTAGATGGGGGCTGGGGCTGGAGTTATCTAAAAGCTTAACTGGACCGGATGTCCAGGACAATTTCTTCACTCACCATGTCTGGCTCCTCAGTTGGGATGGTTGGAAGAGCCAAAACCAGAAGGCCTGGTCCAGTATGGAGAGGAGAGGAGGAGTATCTTTGAAGAAGACCCAAAAGAGATATTAAAAGTAAAAAGATCCTTTAGGGTTGGGCAAGCTCCCAAAGGAGAAATTCAAATTTTTAGCTACTTTATTAGTTTAATAGGACTTAAAGCAGGAAATTACCACATAGCTGGGTATGTGGTATCTGGGTATCTAGCAGTTACAACATTGTTCCTATGGGAAATTTCACTTTAAGTTCCATTCACTGGTTTTAAAACAGCAGAATATTTTATTTTATTTTTAAAGATTTTATTTATTTATTTGGAGAGAGAGACAGTGAGAGAGGGAACACAAGCAGGGGGAGTGGGAGAGGGAGAAGCAGGCTTCCCGCTGAGCAGAGAGCCCGATGTGGGGCTGGATCCCAGGACCCTGGGACCATGACCTGAGCGGAAGGCAGACACTTAAGGACTGAGCCAGCCAGGCGCCCCAAAACAGCAGAATATTTTGGACAGAATCAATTTATGAGTGAGGGATTGGGAGTCTGCTGATTTTAAACACACCACTGGCCAAACCAGGGATCCCTTGAAAGCAATACTTTTCTGTCTCCCCAACATCCAGCTGTCATTCTGATCAGATTACTTCAGGATTATGAACAACCAAAAAAGGGGGAAGGGGGTGGATATAAAAACTGAATCTTTTGAATCATATGAATTCTATATAACTTGGACCACCCATTTATATTTTTAAAACACTTCCTACATTGAAGATTTTTATCTTTCTATTATTAACAATTGTCAATTCACAGTGGCTGTGGCATAATGACCACAGCTGCCCTTCAAGGAAGTTTCTATTTCTTTTAGAAAAGCCCCTCTAGGGGCGCCTGGGTGGCTCAGTGGTTAGGCGACTGCCTTCGCTCAGGTCATGATCCTGGGGTCCTGGGGTCCTGGGATCGAGCCCCGCATCGAGCCCCGCATCGGGCTCCCTGCTCGGCGGGAAGCCTGCTTCTCCCTCTCCCGCTCCCCCTGCTTCTGTTCCCTCTCTCGCTGTGTCTCTCTCTGTCAAACAAATAAAATCTCTAAAAAAAAAAGAAAAAAGGAAAAGCCCCTCTATATTTGTAGGTGCAACACTCAATTTCTAAAAGAGGAAATTTGAAGATATATTACAAGTGCCATTTGATTTTATGTTGTCTCTATTCATATATGAAAAACATTACAGATGAGCGATCGAAAGCATTGCAGTTTAGAGTTTTTACACAGAGTCTATCAGGTTATCAGTGTACCACTTCCTGGCATTCCTGGGGGTGCCCCTAACACACCGGGAACTTTCCCACCCCTCTACCTCCGTCCTTGTGCAGAGAAACTGCGCCGACATTGGCGCCCCCTGCTGACCAAAATCCTGGACAACTTGCTGTGAAGGTAGGGCTCTTTTAGAGGAAATCACCTTAGTGGATAGGCTTCCGTGCCTCTCTCTCTAAGCTCCCAGCCAGCCTGGGAACCTTCCTGAAGAACCCTTGTGTTTTCCGCCTCAGCTTGGCTCTCCCTCGGAGGGCAGGCCAGGAAGGGGAGAAGGGTCAGATCTCAGACTTTGTTCACCCCCTGGTAATTAATTACCTCCTTGACCCGCTCGCCTGGGCCGAGAGAGGGGCATCTGTTTATATTCTGAAAGAAGCCAGTCCCACCAGGGGAGGAGAAACCCAAAACAGAAGGAGCAGGGCCCCACGACTGGGCTCGTGACTGAGCATTTAAAGATCTTTTTAAGGAGACGCAGGAGGATGTGAGGAGGCCAACAGCCGCTTAGGAGAGCCCGAACGAGCAGGCTGCTGGAGTTAGGTCGAAGAGAGGTGTCAAATTAATTTCCACCAATTGTGTGTGAAATCGTTGCCAAAGTCTACTTTGGGATACCCAGAGATAACTTCGTTACGGGCACCCTGCTGACTTAGG